AAAAGCGTCAGATGGACCGGGTAAAAATAATTTTGTCCCACCATCGCACGCGCCAAACTGGACTAGCCACCAAAGTTATTTTCTCGCCGTAATTTTATCCAGGCATGCTTTAAAAAATATGACAGTTCAATGGTTAAAATAACAAAACTGTTTGCTTTGCCAAAATTTGGAGGCCTCCGAGGCAGCACTTCGGCTTCTTTGAAGATTGGCGAAATTTTGGCAACCCGCAAAAATTTGGCAAGTTTTTGAAACTGGGGGTCGCACTTATTTTACGCGACTTGTTGACAGATCTTGACAGATTATCAAACAAAATTGGTTCTAGTGCGGCCAGTCGAGCCTCCGATTGCCACCACCTCTCGGTTGCGACCACCTCTCCTCAACGACCAGTTTTCCAAAATACCAAAAGTTTCCCAAGCAAATCACTATATTTGGGACCTTTTGTAACGGACCACTTCTCGTAAGCGACCGCGATCGCTTTTAGCGCTAAAAGTTTGAAATTTTCTTTTGTATTTAACCTCCCGTAAGCGACCACTTGACAGAAAATAGGGCGTAAATTGGATAATAAGGTGTTGTAACAGTATCGCATTCCTGAGTAGTACAAGATACGGAAATTTCTCAATGGGAAGTACTGTACAGCACCGCAAATGATCCCCGACCGCAAATGATCCCGAACCGCAAATGATCCCCGATGTGGACCGCAAATGATCCCGCCGGAGAACGAGGAATGGCATGGAGTTTGGTTCCATATTGTCATTTATTTACTTTTTATTCATCATCCAAACAAATAACTTAGAATAAATGTAAAGAAAAGATACTGACAAAGTAAATAATTCTCATGATAAATAATTCCATCTCATTTTCTTTTGACAATTCTTCTGAAAAATCACGGAAAAAAATAAAACCTCGTAAACAGTGATACCGTTTCTCAGTTGGCTCGATCTACAACAGTAATAGCTTAATGCTACCATAACGAAGACATAAACAACTTGTATACATTTCTTTTAATACCACGTCGCCAGTAAGAACTTGTGACGTATTAATGACCTTTTAGCCTTTTATTTGATATTCTGTGAGCTAGAAAGTCCGCATCTCAACACTCCAAGCCGGTTTGGCTTTCGCATCTTCAATTTACAGCCAGAAATTCCATGCTGATGATGTAAACGTGTACTAAATTTGGACAGGATCACTGATTGGTCAAGTTGCATAGTTGAGCGATCTAACACTTACCTTCATTACCCGTGAGAGACATATGCGGAAAAACCGAGAGACTAAAGATAGAATGGCAGCCGTAAGCCGTTTTCGTGTAGGATTTCTAGACCAAAGATGTCTTGCATCATGAACAACCTTAAACTGATATACAACCACTACAACCCGATTCTTGCCACTGACTTTCGAAATCGATATAAAGAGTACCCTGGGTATCAGAGGATTTTTATTTCGCGTGATTCACCAAAACCGAAAACCGCACTAGAAAGCCTCTAGCACCAGGCAGGCGAGAAAATTAGACACTAATTATCTGACGTTATTTATCTGTTCGCAATTTTCGCGTTGGTTAAATTGTTATGAAATGTTGAGGCAAAGCCGATTACAAGGCAACATCGTTCCCAGGGTCCTCTTATTGCAAGGCAGTCCTCAGAGCTTTTACGGTAATCTATTGGAAGAATTGTTTATCATGAAAATTATATCTATATCGAGAATATGGTCAGTCACGACTTGTTTCTGTCTAGGTTAAAAATTGAAATCTCGACCCGAGGAACAAAATCCATGCCATTCCTCGTTTTCCGGCGGGATCATTTGCGGTGTCACAGTGATATGTGTTTCCCCGTGATATGTGTATCCCCGCACACATAACACTAGTGATATGTGTATCCCCTCCAAAATGGCGACCAGTGATATGTGTATCCCCCACCCCCTTCCCCTCTACTTTAAAAAGCAATATCCTCCTTGAAAGCGCTCTCGTCGTCCGGTCGCTTACTGGACGAAC